AGATAAGACTGTGCATCAACTATTCAAAATTATAAATATAAACTATAGAGTGAGAATTTGAAAATTAAAGTCCTTTCCTATCAGTCCTATGCTAAGAAATAACTGTGATTTCAGATCTTTACATAAGTAGGCTTGGGTGAAATTCAAATTTTTCCTAGAAAAGTGTCAAATTTATTATCAGGTATAAAATCTGCAAAAGCCAGTGATTGATCACTCACACGTTAATTCAGTAGAACACTAATACATTTTGATACCTTCCATTACCTAAAAGGGATGATCGCATAACATGCATGCTAGAGGGAAAAGGAAAAAAACCCCACACAAGCTCTAGAGGACATTTGCTAAACTTAGCACTTCAAAATCTCTTCCAACTGTTCTATTTAATGGCTATGCCTGTGAAATAAATATTGTGATTTGAATACCACAAAATAGTTTATATCCATTATTCTAGAGATAATATGACTGTGCACAATAGTAATATTTTTATAAAACCCTTTACATATGAATTGCTAGATGTATAAGAACACCATCTTGAATTTAGCACATTAGCAATCAGCCTAAGGAACAAAGGAAGAGTTTCTTAGAGTATTTAACTGTAAAAAATTGAATATAAACTAACCTTGGGAACTTCTTCAAAATCTCCTTGAGGGCTTCTGTTCCTTTCTTTGCCTCCCTGTTGACTCTCACTATCTTCCAATAGCTTCTGTAGCTCTCGTAGCTGCTTTTCTTTTTCCACAGCATTTTTCTCTGCAATTTCTACTTGTTCTTTTTCTAAAATCAAACTAGTCTGCATTTCAGCCACCTGTCTTTCTAATTCTGATATTCTCAAGGTAAATGTTGAAACATTCGACTCCATCTCTTTTTCTGTGAGTGGATTTAAATTCTGTATATTTGTTCTTTCAGGCTCTGATGAACTTGCCTGTTTACCTTGACAGAGTTGTGCATATTCCTTAACTGCTTCAAGTTGGACCTGACTCACAAGGGCAGCAGCAACGTTTTCCTCAAGTGTATTCTGGAGGTTTACAATCTTCTTTTTAAGCATTTCTGTTTCAGCCTGGGCTTGCTCTTGAATGTCCTTTATTTGCTTATAACACTGGGTAAGTTCTAAGTTCTTTGCACTCACAGTGCTCTCTAGATGTAGCACCTTTGTCTCCAAAATGTTGATGGAATCTTTACTGTTTTCTTCAAAAGATTGGAAGTCAGTCTGATTTTCTAGGGGTTTGACAGCATCCTCAGTACAGACAACTTCTAGTTCAGGTTTCTTTTTGCTTAGATCATCTATAACCATGTTAACACTTTTCTCTGGTACACTTTGGATTTGTTCCCGATTTTCCTGTTCTTTCTTTAAGCTGCATAATTCTTTTGTTAGCTGGCTCATTTTAAAATTGGTTTCTTNCACAGTGAAAGGTCTGGAGGCACATTTACCTGAGTATTAATAGTCATTACTTTAGGATTTAGGAGAGTCTAGGTGTAATTTTTACTCCATTTTGTTTCTCTATTCTACCAAGAATGTATTTCTAACTGAAAAATTTTTATCAAAGTTCATCACTTCATATTACAATTCATATTACTGACGTTAGGAGACAGAAATAATATTGGCTTTAGAAGATAATCACGTTAATTTAGGCTTTTAAAATTATTCCTTAGGGAGTAGAGGCTAAGGATTTACATGTATAAATATGTATCTATGTTATATTAATTAAGCTTTCAATGAGGTTTAACAAAATATACTAATCAATTTTCTGAAAACAATCTTCAATTAATTCTATGTCTAAATATGTGATATATTTAATTTGTGATTTCATTATACCTGTTTTCTCTGAAATATTTTAAGATATTTAAAATCTTCAGCTTTCCAATGACAAATGTTAAGACTATGGTGTAACTTTCGAAATTTGCAAAAGGATAGGAGTTTGTACCATTATATGAAACAAAATTGAAGACAAAGGCATATGTCTTCACTAGATATGATGAAATTTCTATTTTACTTCAATCTCTAAAGATTTCTATCTGCAGCTCAATTTAAATTAACAGACACCCTTATCAAAAGCGTGGAAAAGATACTAATAAGCACATCACAAAAGTAAAAATCCAGCCAACCAATAATCATATGACAAAAAGACTAAACTACTGCAGTACTGAGAGAAATGCAAATTAAAACCACAATAACAATCTAATGTGCACCCACCAGATTGGCAATAAAGGCCTGACAATACCTACTGTTGGCAAAGATGCGAAGCAATAGAACTCTCATACACACACTGCTAGTAAGTGTACAAACTGATGTGACCACTTTGGAAAACAGTTTGGCATTACCTAATAAATTTGAAGACATGTATTCTATTATCCAGCAATTCCACTCCTGAGTATGTACCTAGAAAACTCATACATGTATGCCATCAGAAATGCTGAATAACAATGTACAGAAGAATGTCATAGAGAAGTGAAGGCAGGACACAAATACAGAGGGTGCCAAAAAAATGTATACACATTTTAAGAAAGGAAAAAACTATTAAAATTGTAATACTCAATATATACCGATAACAAAAGATGAA